TCCCAGCACCCACATGGCAGCTCACAACTGTCTGTAACTCTGGTTTCAGTGGATCCAGTGCTCTCTTCTGGCCTCCAAAGGTACCAGGCACACAAGTCATGCACAGACATGCATGCAAGGCACCCATATACGTAAAGTAAAACACACACAATTTAAAAGCAAGAGACACACTCTTCCGTGCAGCTGTAGTCTTTAGCCATTACCAATAATCACCCCACTGTCACCTACTTCATCTTGAAGTCATCCGCTGTGAGTCTAGCATTGTCATTCTGAAGAATAAGGTTCGCATTGCAGGTGGTCATAGAAACAATCTGAATGGGACAGATCAAAGGACATTCCAGAATAAATGTGACTCCATCACAAATGTTTATATTGGTATCTTCATTTGGATATTCAAAGAAATTTGGTTTTGGGGTATAACTCAGTAGTAGAGCTCTTGCCTAGCATATTAGACAATAACAAAAACAAAACAACCATGGGTAAAATTCAGATAATAAAGAGCCCCACAGAAAATTTCATTGTTGTTCATCAAAAAGTATGAATTAAATATCAAAATAAAAAAATAGTGCAGCATCCTCATAATTCTACATGGTGGGTGAGTACTCCGTTACTGAACTACATCCCTAGCTCTCCTTTTAGTTTTTATTTTGAGAAGAATCTCGTTGAATTACCCAGGCTGGCTTCAAACTTGTGATCCTCTGGCTTCAGCCTTTGGTGTGGCTGAGATTATAGGACTGTATCACCAGGCCTGGCTCAATTTTAGTGATTTTGAAGCTATTCCTCTTTCACTATTTGATTCTACATTTGCTTAAGTTATTAGGCACCCCCTTAATTCTAGGAACAAAGAGTGAGCAAATTCGACACCCTATACACTTGGTGAATACATTTGAAATGAATGAATGAATGAAGCTTATTTATGGTACTGGAGGTTGAGCTAAGAGTCATAGGCAGGCCGGACAAAGCTCTACTATTATAGTTCTAGATTAAAAAAAAATTGAGATAGGGTCTCCAAGTTCCCAGGCCGGCCTCAGCCTTGTGATCCTCTGTCACAGCCTCTTCAGTAGCTACAGTGACAGGCGTGTGCCACCACACCCCACTGCCAACTACTTCCTAGGTGTCCTTTGCTTTCAGTTACGGCTGGCCCATGCCTATAGCCACAGTATGGGACTCTGCGTTTCTTACCTGTCTTTTCAGATCCTCGATGACTGAGAAATACTTGCTGTAGTCATAGTTGAGTCCACGGCTACTGCCAGGCCCGTATTTCTCATACCAGCCCTCAATCTTCTTCTCCAGGTCAGTGTTGGCTTCCTCCAGGGCACTCACATGGTTCAGGTACAATGCCAGACGGTCATTGAGGTTCTGCATGGTCACCTTCTCATTCCCAGAGAGGAGTCCGGGCTCGTTGTTAAGGAAACCAGTGCTGTTAGTTCTTCCTGACACCTCATTGCCATTGCCAAAGCTTCCTCCAGAAGAGATGCCTCCAAGGGTGCAAGAAAAGCTGCTTTCTGCTCCAGGTCCCACACACACGTTCCCAGCCACAAAGCCTGTCCCTCCCCTGGACAGCCTGACAGACCCAGCTCGAGAACAGACCCGGGATCCCCCAGAAAATCGAAACGACATGGCGACAACACAGCACAGCGACCTTCTTCCCCAGAGAGGCACAAAGCCAGTCTATCTTTCACGGGGGGTGACAACCCCACTGGCTTTTATAGGACTCAATCTCAGCTATGCTGATCTTTAATAAAACATTGGTGGCATCCTAATTGCTGTTTTTCATAATTGGGTGATTTTTAATAGTGTCCAGTAGGTGGCAAAGTGCCCTAAGGATATTTTTTATGAATGAAAAAGGTGCCAGGGACAGTGATCCTAATTCATAGCCTTGCAGTCTTAGTAACATTAAATCATAGCCCCATAAATCACAGAGAGGAAACCATCATTTATGTAACCAAGATGAGAGTTTACATCGTTTTGAGCCCTGGAAAAGAGCAGAGACCTTCTCCTCCACCATGTAACAACGAATTCACATTAGACCTATTTGCCCCCCATGGTGTAGAAATGCACTAGAATATCTCAATTGTCCCACCTTTACTGAGTGTTTCCCCATCTTACTGAGATGGAAGCTCTCCATATTTAGTGACCTCTTGCCAGTAAGAATTCTTGAATTAATTAATCTATTTTTGTAAGTGTATGGATATGCACATACATGGTGTTTGCGTGTGCTGAGGCACATGTGTGTGCATATAGGTGCACACAGGTGTGGAGGCAAGTCTGTCATGCACCTCGCTTGTTTTTGAGATGGGGATCTCATTGGTTTGGAACCTGTGAAGTAGGCTAGGCTTGCTGGCCAGGAAGCCCCAGGGTCTGCATGTCTTTGACTCCCCAGTGCTGGGATCGTAAGCAGAAGCCCAAGCCCCTGGCTTTTTGACACAGCCACTGGGGACTAAACTCATGTCCTCACACTTGCATGGTAGATACTTTATTTATTGGGCTCTCTCTCCAGCCCCTTGCACTTGTCTGTAGTAAGTTGAAAATGAGGTATGAGCTCTATAGTAACTTTTGGGACGGGTCTCACTGAGCCAAGGCTTTCTTTGAACTCCAATTCTCCTCTCTTAGCTACCTGAGTGCTGGTATTGCAGACACATGCCACTGAGCCTGGTGAGACTTTTTTATTTGGTCTAGGAGCAGAACATCAATTCAACTAACTACCAAGATTCCAAATTGTTTGCCTTTTATCCTTAAAAAAATCATTTTTTGAGACAGAGTCTCACTATATAGCCTTGGTTGGCCTGGAGCTTACTATATAGAGCAAACTAACCTTGAAATTGTCTGATCCTCTTGATGCCTCTTCCTCCCAAATGCTGAGGTTACAGGCATGCACCACCCCACCCTATCATGGTTCTCTAGTTTTCATCTGTGTACATAAAGCATGTGACTTTAAGACACAAGCTTCACGTTGATCAGTGGGAAATAAAATACATGAAAGTAAGGGCTGTGTCCTTTCACTCCCTAGGAAATCCACAATCTGGTACCTAGGTGACTGGTTGTCATGGGGAAACAGATGCTTTCTTCTTTTCGGTGAAGCCCTTGGGAAATTAACCCGTCTCTTCTTGCTTCACTTCTCTAGGAAGAAATGAATATAATCACATCCGACGGTGCCAGTCAAAGGCTTCAATGAGCAGCCCCAATAATAAATGACTATAAGACAGTATGAAGGGCACAGACACTTCATAAATGTTAATTATTTGTATTATTATAATAAGGTGGACACATCAGACAGGGCCAGTTTGCTGTCACTTATGATGGGGACAAATTGATCGGTCGACTGATTACAGGTTTAGTTTTGAAAACGTGAATTCTTTCCCCAATGAGATTTTTCAATGTTGTAGATACTGAATTTTGAGAAGCAGCAGATGTTTGTCACTCCAAGACAAGAGCTATTCAGTGGACTAGAGTGTGTGAATTAAAAAAGCACAAATATTGAAAAGTAATTGATACAAAATTGTAATTCAGATCTTATCAATGTACTATAAGATTTCTAAATTATATTCAGTGATTTGCAGTGATCTGGCTAAAGTTTTACATTTTTTTGTTAATGTTTCCCACGAATGAAAGAACCAAAACAGAGTGTTGGGAGAGTAATAGTTTGTAAGACTTGATTTTTTTTTATTTTTTTTTTTTTTTTTTTT